TCTAAACATTTTTTCAGTTTCTGCAAATGAAGGAGCAATTAGACAATTTCATATTGTAATATCAGCTGTGATAGTATACATTTCTGTACTGAAGAAAATTCAATCAAACAGAATTCAATTCTTCTATATAACATGCAGTCTATTGTCAAGATAAATCAACATATAACTACCTACACATAACTGCACAAACTTAACATTCATAATCAATTCATGTGAAATCCTCATATATAAGTTCAGAGTAGGTACTCTCAAAACATATCAGGTTAACACAGAGGAATCATCCAAGTATCATCCAATTTTTCAAAAATATTGCTGCAACTCACTTATTGTAATTTTCAGAATAATGTAGAAGTGATTCCATAACAGCAGGTAATTTCAAATAGTCGTATTCAAAAAATTTCAATCAACCAATTCACACAATTCTATTTAAATCAACTAAAATGCTGCAGAAATGTGGTACATATAGCGTGCAATGCAGTTTCAATTATCCCAGCAGAAATGTCATAGTTGACAGGGAAAGACCAATTCAGAGTATTGTCCATTCCATTCTTGAAGCAAATAATATCAGAATAGTTTCCCAACACTAATCTCGACAATTTCCAAAGCAATACATGCAAAACACAGCATAATAGATAATTTCAGACTTTCAAATTCAATATCTTTCAATCAAAACATTGTTATTAAAGTCTTTTTAGGTCATGTCAATTTCTGCAGAAGTTTGTTAATTTGAAAAGTGTAATGCAGAATTGAATCTTCTTAGAAAACTCAAATTACAACAAAACCTAATCTCACTATTTTCTATTCCCCAGATTGATTTAAATGGCTCAAAACATTCCTGGTTATCCTTTTTCAACAATTTCCCCAAAATATTTAAACATATACAAAACTCCAATCACAGATTTCATAAATAAAGGAAATGTACCTTGGTTGGAGATGCAGAAATGATGCTCGAATATGGAACGGGGAAGAAAAATCTTCTAAAGCACAATGCAGAGATTGAGGGTTAGAGAGCTCTCAGAGAGGGAAGGAATTTTAGGTTTAAAAGCGTATGTGCGTATTCACCCTTAGCAGTATTTATAGGCACGCTTGAGCACGTGGCTCCTTTTGAGAGTAAAAGTGACCTTTATGTTATTAAAAGTCCCAGCGTTATCACTATTATTCATAAGAGTGAATGTTCTAGAGAGTGTATTTTTCAGAGTAAGGGGCTGGGAAAAGTGATAACACGCAGCTATGTTGCAACTTTTGTTAATAAAAGTAATAACGCACAGAGGTCCAGGTTATACTTACCTGTGCGTAGTCACTTTTGCCAATAAAAGGAAGCGTTCTAGAGAGTTAGTTTTCCCATCTGTCTCTGCGTAATCACTTTTATCAGTAAAAGTGATTGTTCCTGAGAAGCGTATTACCCTGATGCCTCTGCGTGATCACTTTTGTCAGTAAAAGTGATTGTTCCAATAGAGATCCTCAAAATGTATTCTCTGCGTAGCTTCTTTCCTGCAACATAGTGACTCTTTTCATTAATCAAATTCATCTAAACTCTCAATTAACTCACTTCTCATACTCTAATCCTTCAATTTACTTCTCTCAATTGCAAATCTCTAATTATTTATCAGATTCAATTAAGAAAAACAGCTGCAGCAACATATTTGCAGAACTTAGATAAAATTGCAAAACATGATTATACATATTTCTAATTCTGCAGATACACATTCTAAACATTGAATCTCAAATCAAGTACCAAATTCACTTCAGCAGAGATATGCAGCAGAATCAAATTGCAGAAGTTTCAGATTATGCAGAATTTTAAACCTTCAAATACACATTCACCACATCAAATCTCTAATCAACTATCAGATTCACTTCAGAAAATCAGATGCAGCAGAACTTGCATGGAATTAAAAAAAAATGAATATGCAGAATTACAAATTTCAGAAACTGCAGAATATGAAATACAAACTCCTAAAACAATACAAACAAACTTAAAATGAGTTAGAAATGTGAGTTGCCTCTCACAAAGAGCTTCTTTAATGTCACTAGCTTGACGCCTATTGATCTTTGGTTCTAAGAGATGATTTTGATGATAACGGCTCTTGCTCTATCTTTAACCGTTTCCCCTTTTTCTCACCAACTTGTAGTTCTTCATTTAATTCAAAACTTGAGAGAAATAAAAGTGGAGGGACTTCCAGCAGTTTGGTATAATCATTAAGTTTCTTTGCCTCCTTTTCATTGTCTTCATATGTCATTATAGTAAGGACTTCTCTTATAACAAAATCATTCTTCTGTTTTTCCTGCTTGACATTCTGCCCTCCTTGAAGAAATTTAAGCCTTTGTGTTTAGCTTCATCCATTGGCTTAGGTTCATCTTCAAACAAACGATTTTTTTTTTTTGTTGTGTCTTGCTGCTGTCCTTTGGTTCTTCTTTCTTTAAAATCGTTAACTGCTCTTCCTTGCAATCCTCTTGTTGCTTATCTTGAATATTTTTTTCTTTAGATTTATCTAATGCCTCCTCTTTCTCAGTAGCTTTAGGACTTGAAACTTCCACTTCACTCCTTGTACAGACAACTTGGCTTTGTTCTATTGGATTTACAATGGTATTGTTAGGTATTTTTTCATCATTCCTATTTAACAATTGCTCTGAAATTTGTCCTATGTGCTTCTCCATCTTCTTCATGGATGTATCTTGATTCATAAGCTTCTATTCTTCCAACTTGGCTTTGATAAAAATTCTTATACATGATGGTTGCCATCAAACAATAGAGCAACTTATTTTTCTGGTTTTTCCTTGCATACAAAAAGAAAGAAAACAAAAGTCTAATCAAATTTGTAACTAGGAAAAATGAAATATGAAATTATGCAGAAAATTACAAAACATAACATGCAACAAATATAGAAATTTATGCAGAAAAATAAAAAACAAGATTATGCAGAAAAATGCAAAAAAAAAAAATAGAAAAGCTACAAAACAGAATATGTAGAAAACACAAAAATTTATGCAGAACAAAAATTAAAATTATGCAGAAGAATGAAAAACAAAATTATGCAGAAAATACAGTGTTAATTCTATCAAAATCAGAAATTTATGAATGCAGAAAACATAGAAATTATGCAGAATGAAGTTTACAATTATGCAGAAACATGAAAAACAAGATTATGCAGAAAATGCAAAAGAATGCAAAAACTTTATGCAAAAGACAGCAGAACTTATGCAGAAATCTACACAAGATGCAGAGAAATTATGCAGAAAAACTTGAAAGCAGAACAACAACAAAAACAAATGCTCAATCTAGCTACTTTTCTGCTACTAATGATATTGAAATTCAAAATTCCCCGGCAACAGCGCCAAAAACTTGTTGTTCACAATCTAACACTAGTAACTGCACTAGGATTGCAGCAAGTAATGAGTAAATTTAAGATCCAAATATCGTCTTCACAGGGAATTTAGATTTCAAGTACCACTTCACAGAATTTAACCATTTGAGCCATACGAATTTTAGAAAGAGAATTGTAACATATAATAGTAGTAAACCAGCACAATACAGAGAATTAACTTGTAGAAAAATAGAGTATAACAATGTGATGAATTGAGATGGGAATGAAGAATAGTTAGGAATTTACTTCACAAGAATATTAGTATTAATTCAATTATGCCTCTGAACATTAAAGAACTTGGTTAATTGACAATCAATTTTGCATAGCAATAGCCAAAGGTCAATTCCTTAACTCATTGACCCTAACAAGCAACTAAACCACCCTAATCCCTTAGGTGAAGTTCAATTTCAAGTTGCATTAAGACTGAGAACCTTAAGATTGCAGAATTAGGTCTCCTTATCCCTAAGAAATCCCCAACTTCTAATTGCTAACTCAGATCGAAGAAGTAAATCCAACTTCTATTGGTAATTGTTCCTCTAAGATGAATCAAACGAATTTCCTTTCATAGATTGCAAGAAAAATAGAATTCACAATTCAATTAATCCAAGAACTCAAAATCCAGAAGCAAGAGTCAAATCAATACATTAATTCGAGTTCCATAAACCCCTAACTATAAGAAAACTACTCAGACATGGGAGAAGAGAAAGAGAAAGAAGAAGAAGAAGAAGAAAAACTCAAAGAAGTCAAGGTCAGAAGCTCCAATCTGATTCCTCTTTGTGGAAGCTTCAAGACTTGACCCCAATCTTCTCTCTCAATCTCTCTCGACGAGATCTAACAGAAAAATGGAAAAATAAAACTGAACTCCGAAAAATCTGCACGTTTTTGTTATTTATAGAATTTCTCAGATTTGCGCGTTATCACTTTTATGAGAAATAGTAGCCACGCAGAAGGTTTATGGTTGCGCGTTAACACTTTTATGAGAAAAAGTAACCACGCGCAACTTTCCTGATATTGAAGGCTCTCTGCAACTATCACTCTTGCTGATAAAAGTGACTACGCAGAGCTCCAGTGGTTGCGCGTGATCACTCTTATGAATAAAAGTGATTACGCGCAACTTGCCAGGTTGAAAGCTCTCTGGAATGTTCACTTTCGCTGATAATAGTGGTAACGCCCAGGCTTTCTTCTTCTTTGAACTCTAGAGTGATCACTTTTACTGACAATAGTGATCACGCCCAGTCTGCACTTTCTTGTTCTTGTGTTTTTGGAGTCCAGACTTGCTTCTTTCTTCTTCCTTGTCATCAAGCCTCCATTTCCATGATCCTTGCTCAATTTATTCCTTCAAAAACAAGATTAAAAACTTAATTTCTAAGCAAAATTTCTACAATTGCTAAGATAACTACATACAGTAGATACTCTTTAAATTAATACTCGATAAATTAATAAACTCTCAAATAATAAATTTATCCGGTCCCGACTTGGGCTAATATAAAAAATTGAAAAACTCGATAAAATAATAAGATAATAATTTTTCGGGAGATCCCTTTATAATTTTCTGTCCCAAGAAAATCATAAATTAATAATTGATAGAAACTGAAAAAAATATATTACACTATTGAAATATGATTCAATAGTTGTCTATTTTCCTTTAAAGTTCAAGTCTATTTGGAGCTCATCTCTAACTTTTCTTATTGCATCCAATAGCTTAGGTGTTGTATTTTTGTATTGTATCATAAAGTTGTGAAGAGTGTTCAACGCCGTAAGTGCTTCCTTTCGTGTAACAGGCTCCAAAGACACTGTATCATCTTCGTCGTCATCCTCTGCATTGTTCTCAATGATAGTACTTACAATTTCTTCTAAACTCTGAACCTCCGAACATGCTTCATTTTCACCTGGGTAGTTCATTAGATTGTCGATATCCATCTTATTACGATAGCCACATTGATTGATCATAGTCTCGAGGTCTTGAGTTTCTTCATCAAAAGTGGATTCATCCAAATTTCTTGCAACGTCACTATCTGAACAAATTTTACAGTGTCGGAAGCAATTCGCTATTGTTTCTTTTCGAACATCTATCATCCAAGCTGGGATTGCCAAATTGATAGCATCAAGGACATTTATCTTCCCTGGATCAAAGTGTCCCACCTCATAACCTTCCAATATTTTGCGGTAAAACCTTCTACGGTAATGCATCTTGAAAGCTCTTATTATCCCAGCATCGCAAGGTTAAATCTTTGATGTCATGTTGGGTGGCAAGAAGAACAACTCAACATTTCTTAGCCCTTCAATATTTCTTGGATGTGCTGGACAATTATCCACCACAAGTAGAACTCTTCTACCATGCATCATTTGGTCAAATGAACGAACATATTCATCGAAAAGCACACTAGTCATCCATGCTTTTTTGTTAGCTCGATACTGACAATTCAAGCTATTCATGTTGACATTCTTGAAGCAACGAGGCTTTGCATATTTCCCAATAATCCATAGAGGGATTTTTTCAGAGCCATCTTCATTGCAACAAATAACTACTGTCAGCCTTTCTTTATCTTGTTTTCTTCCCTCAAGTTGTTTTGTTGCCAGTGAATGATCAGCTTGTAGCCTATAAAACAACCCAGTTTCATCCATATTGAAAACATCTTTCATAGGGAACTGATCAATTTTCTCCCGAATCGATACCAATTTTCTCCCGAACTGATCAATTTTTGTGTGCTTGCAGGATTATCTCTCTTATACTCACACAACTCCTTACGTATTTGATCTGACATAGTTGATTTTGCAACACCTTTTAGATGAGAAGCCATCTTGTGAGATATGGTTTGAATACTCTAACACATTCATGCAATTTATATATGCCAAACTTGTTTAAGAATACATTGAACACATTTGTTCCTCTTGTTTACATTTACTGTACTTCAAAAGTCATTATTGATTTCCAATGCATATGTAGTGTAGTTACTAATTTACTGTACGTTGAGTCCCAAGGTTCGCTGCAACGTAATTCTAAGAGGCATAGATTAATTTGCCTTTTTGTTTGGTATGTACAGTATAATTACTTAAAAACTCTTTACATTAATAAGTATTAACTTATCGATAAATTAATTACTCTATAAATTAATAAATTTCTCTGGTCCTGACATTATTAATTTAAAGACTTTATACTGTAGTTTTAGTAGCCTGAGACAAGTTTCGTACGACTTCCTTTGCCGGTAAGCAAAAGGGGACCAAAAGAGACCAAATTTGGAACTTAGGTCCAAAGGCGCCAGAAAGTGCTAGAAGGGGAGAAGGTGGTAAGAAAGCCTTCCTTTGAGTCTAAGGAGTGATATTCAAGGTATTTTAGTGGCCTGAGATGAGTTTCGCACGTCTTCCTTTGCCGGTAAGCAAAAGGGGACCAAAAGAGACCAAAATTGAAACTCGAGTCCAAAAGTGCTAGAAAGTGCTAGAAGGAGAGAAGGTGGTGAGAAAGCATTCCTATGAGTCCTAAGAGTGATATTCAAGGAGTTTCAGTGGCCTGAGACGAGTTTTGTATGTCTTTCTCTGCCGGTAAGAAAAAGGGGGACTAAAAGAAACCAAAACTGAAACTTGGGTCCAAAGGCGCAAGAAAGTCCCAAATGGGGAGAAGGTGGTGAGAAAGCCTTCCTTTAATTCCTAGGAGTGATATTCAAGGAGTTTCAGTGGCTTGAGACGAGTTTCACACACCTTCTTTTGCCGGTAAGCAAAAGGGGACCAAAAGAGGCCAAAACTAGAACTTGGGTCCAATACTGCCAGAAAGTGCCAGAAGGGGAGAAGGTGGTGAGAAAGCCTTCCTTTGAGTCCTTGGAGTAATATTCAAGTAGTTTCAGTGGCTTGAGACGAGTTTCGCACGATTTCCTTTGCCGGTAAGCAAAAGGGGACCAAAAGACACCCAAATTGGAACTTGGTTCCAAAGGCGCCAGAAAGTGTGAAAAGAGGAGAAGGTGGTAAAAAATCCTTCCTTTGTGTCTTAGCAGTGATATTCAATGAGTTTCAGTGGCCTGAGACGAGTTTCGCACGTCTTCCTTTGCCAGTAAGCAAAAGGGGACTGAAAGAAACGAAAACTAGAATTTGTGTCCAAAGGCGCCAGAAAGTGCCAGAACGGGAGAAGGTGGTGGGAAAGCCTTCCTTTGAGTCCTAGGAGTGATACTCAAGGAGTTTTAGTGGCCTGAGACGAGTTTCACACGTCTTCCTTTCCTGGTAAGCAAAAGGGGACAAAACGAGACCAATTTTGTAACTTGGGTCCAAAAGTGCCAGAAAGTGCCAAAAGGGGAGAAGGTGGTGAGAAAGCTTTCCTTTGAGTCTTAGGAGTGATATTCAAGGAGTTTCAGTGGCCTGAGACGAGTTTCGCACGTCTTCCTTTGCCAGTAAGCAAAAAAGGACCAAGAGAGACCAAAACTGGAACTTGGGTTCAAAGGCGCCAGAAGGGGAGAAGGTGGTCAGAAATCCTTCCTTTGAGTCTTAGGAGTGAGATTCAAAGAGTTTTAGTGGCGTGAGACGAGTTTCCCACGTGTTTCTTTGCCGATAAGCAAAAGGGGACCAAAAGAAACCAAAGCTGGAACTTGGGTCCAAAGGCGCCAGATAGTCCCAGAAAGGGAGAAGGTGGTGAGAAAGCATTCCTTTTAGTCTTAGGAGTGATATTCAAAGAGTTTCAGTGGTTTGATATAAGTTGCGCAAGTCTTCTTTTGCCGGTAAGCAAAAGGGGACCAAAAGAGACCAAAACTAGAACTTCGGTCCAAAGGCGCCAGAAAGTGCTAAAAGGGTAAAAGGTGGTGAGAAAGCCTTTCTTTGAGTCCTAGGAGTCATATTCAAGGACTTTCACTGGCTCGAGACAAGTTTCGCACGTCTTCCTTTACCGGTAAGTAAATGGGGACCAAAAGAGACCAAAACTGTAACTTGGGTCCAAAGACGTGAAAAGTGCCAGAAGGGGAGAAGGTGGTGAGAAAGCTTTCCTTCGAGTCCTAGGAGTGATATTAAAGGATTTTTAGTGGCCTGAGACGAATTTCATACGTCTTACTTTGTCGGTAAGCAAAAGGGGACAAAAAGAGACCAAAATTGGAACTTGGGTCCAAAGGCAACAGAAAGTGCCAGAAGGGGAGAAGGTGGTGAGAAAGCCTTCCTTTGAGTCCTTGGAGTGATATTCAAGGAGTTTCAAGGGCCTGAGACGAGTTTCGCACGTCTTCCTTTGCCGGTAAGCAAAAAGGGGACCCGAAGAGACCAAAACTAGAACTTGGGTCCAAAGGTGCCGAAAAGTTCCAGAAGGGGAGAAGGTGGTGAGAAAGCCTTTCTTTGAGTCCTAGGAGTGATATTTAAGGAGTTTCAGTGGCCTGAGAAAATTTCGCACGTCTTCCTTTGTAAGAACTTGGGTCCAAAGGCCACAGAGAGGGCTAGAAGGGGAGAAGGTGGTGAGAAAGCCTTCCTTAGAGTCCTTGCAGTGATATTCAAGAAGTTTCAGCGGCCTAAGACGAGTTTTGCACGTCTTCCTTTGTTGGTAAGCAAAAGGGGACCAAAAGATACCAAAACTGGAACTTGGTTCCGAAGGCGTCAGAAAGTGCCAGAAGGGGAGAAGGTGGTGAGAAAGCCTTCCTTTGAGTCCTAGGACTGATATTCAAGCAGTTTCAGTGGCCTAAGGCGAGTTTTGCACGTCTTCCTTTGTCAGTAAGCAAAAGGGGACCAAAAGAGACCAAAACTGCAACTTGGGTCCAAAGGCCACAGAGAGTGGCAGAAGGGAAGAAGGTGGTGAGAAAGCCTTCCTTTGAGTCCTTGGAGTGATATTGAAGCAGTATCAGTGGCCTGAGGCAAGTTTCGCACATCTTTCATCGCCATTAAGCAAAAGCGGACCAAAAGAGCCCAAAACTAGAATTTGAGTCCAAAGGCGCCAGAACGGGAGAAGGTGGTGAGGAAGCCTTCCATAGAGTCCTAGGAGTGATATTCAAGGAGTTTCAAGGGCCTGAGATGAGTTTCGGACGTCTTCCTTTGCCGGTAAGCAAAAGGGGACCAAAAGAGAGCAAAACTGGAACTTGGGTCCAAAGACAACAGAGAGTGCCAGAAAGGGAGAAGGTGGTGAGAAATCCTTCATTTGAGTCCTTGGAGTGATATTCAAGGACTTTCAGTAGCCTGAGACGAGTTTCCTACTTTTTCCTTTACCAGTAAGCAAAAGGGGACCAAAAGAGACCAAAACTGTAACTTGGGTCCAAAGGCGACAGAGAGTGCCAGAAGGGGAGAAAGTGGTGAGAAAGCCTTCCTTTGAGTCCTATGAGTCATATTCAAGGACTTTCACTGGCCCGAGACGAGTTTTGCACGTCTTCGTTTGCCGGTAAGTAAAAGGGGACCAAAATAGACCAAAACTGTAACTTGGGTCCAAAGGCAACAGAAAGTGCCAGAAGGGGAGAAGGTGGTGAGAAAGCCTTCCTTTGTGTCCTTGGAGTGATATTCAAGGAGTTTCAAGGGCCTGAGACGAATTTCGCACGTCTTCCTTTGCCGGTAAGCAAAAGGGGACCCGAAGAGACCAAAACTAGAACTTGGGTCCAAAGGCGCCAAAAAGCGCCAGAAGGGGAGAAGGTGGTGAGAAGCCTTCCTTAGAGTCCTAGGAGTGATATTCAAGGAGTTTCAGTGGCCTAAGACGAGTTTTGCACGTCTTCCTGTATCGATAAGCAAAAGGGTACCAAAAGAGACCAAAACTGGAACTTTGGTCCAAAGGCAACAGAAAGTGCCAGAAGGGGAGAAGGTGGTGAGAAAGCCTTCCTTTGAGTCCTTGGAGTGATATTCAGGGAGTTTCAAGGGCCTGAGACGAGTTCGCACGTCTTCCTTTCCCGGTAAGCAAAAGGGGACCCGAAGAGACCAAAACTAGAACTTGGGTCCAAAGGCGCCGAAAAGTTCCAGAAGGGGAGAAGGTGGTGAGAAAGCCTTTCTTTGAGTCCTAGGAGTGATATTTAAGGAGTTTCAGTGGCCTGAGAAAAGTTTCGCACGTCTTCCTTTGTCGTTAAGCAAAAGCGGACCAAAAGAGAACAAAACTAAAACTTGGGTCCAAAGGCCACAGAGAGGGCTAGAAGGGGAGAAGGTGGTGAGAAAGCCTTCCTTTGAGTCCTTGGAGTGATATTCAAGGAGTTCTAATGGTCTGAGACGAGTTTCGCACGTCTTCCTTTGCCAGTAGGTAGAAACGGACTAAAAGAGAACAAAACTAGAACTTGGGTCCAAAGACGCCAGAAAATGCCAGAAGGGGGGAAGGTGGTGAGAAAGCTTTCCTTTTAGTCCTTGGAGTGATATTCAAGGAGTTCTAATGGTCTGAGACGAGTTTCGCACGTCTTCTTCAACTGGTAAGCAAAAGGGGAACAAAAGATACCAAAACAAGAACTAGGGTCCAAAGGCGCGACAAAGTGCGAGAAGGGGAGAAGGTGATGAGAAAGCCTTCCTTTTTGTACTAGGAGTGATATTCAAGAAATTTCAGTGGCCTAGGACGAGTTTCGCACGTCTTCCTTTGTTGGTAAGCAAAAGGGGACCAAAAGAGACCAAAACTGGGACTGTGGTCCAAAGGAGCCAGAAAGTCCCAGAAGGGGAAAAGGTGGTGAGAAAGCTTTCCGTTTAGTCCTTGGAGTGATATTCAAGGAGTTCTAGTGGTCTGAGACGAGTTTCGCACGTCTTCTTCTGCAGGTAAGCAAAAGGGGACCAAAAGATACCAAAACTGGGACTGTGGTCCAAAGGCGCCAGAAAGTCCCAAAAGGGGAAAAGATGTTGAGAAAGCCTTCCATAGAGTCCTAAAAGTGATATTCAAGGAGTTTCAGTGGCCTGAGACGAGTTTCGAACGTCTTCCTCTGTT